CATTCTATAAAATATTAGGCAGCTGATAAAAATAATCAGATCTGTATGTATGTACATAGATGTGGATGGACCAGAAGTGCGTTTAGGATAGATTATTCAGCAAAAACCACAAGGTGCCTGGGTGGCTCAGTCGGCTGCTAAGCATCAGACTCTTGATTTTGGTTCAGGTCATAATTTCACGGTTCATGGGATCGAGCCCTGTGTCGGGCTCTGCACTGACAGCATAAAGAAAAAAAAAATTTGCAAAATCAGTTATATGTCTGAAGAAGTATGCCAGAAAGAAATATTCACCAAACTGCTAATATCAGTTACCATAAGGCAAGAGGATCGCTAGGGGCAAGATAATTATATTTTTTATGTCACTTCTGTATTGTTTGACTTTAACAGTAAGTTTTAATGGCTCTAATAATTTAAGCAGCAAATACCTTTTCTTCTTTTAAAGTTTATTTATATTGAGAGAGAGAGAGAGAGGGTGTGTGCAAGTGGAGGAGGGGCAGAGAGAGAGAGAGAGGGAGAGAGAGAGAGAGAGAGAGAGAGAGAGAGAATCCGAAGCAGGCTCCACACCGTCAGCACAAAGCCCAGAGTGGGGCTCCAACTCATGGACCTCAAGATCATGACCCGAGTCAAAATCGAGAGTTGGACACTTAACCAACTGAGCCGTCCGGGCGCCCCAGCAAACATGTTTTCTCAAAAGTCATTTCTAAGTGGTCCTTAACGGAGGACCTGTCATGTCATTGTCATGAACAAAGGGCAGTAGGGTGTCATCTCCCTGCTGAGCTTGGGGATGTGGTTCTGGCTCACTGTGGGCCCCCTTCTCAGGCCTTCCAAAGGTTATTCAAGCACCTACTTCCCCTCTCACCCTCGGACCAGCAGCAACCCCATTGCTTACTGAGCCTCACGGTCTCCCCAGCCTCAGTTTCCCTTATCTGCTTCTCTTGTACCTCATCTTACCTTCCCTGTCCTGTGAGTGGCACTGATTCCAGAGACCGTGGAGAAGGGACTGAGCTGTTTCTCAACCTTGGTCAATGATTTGAGGGATACAGAGTCTAGGCCCAAGGCATAGTCTCCATCTTGCATGCCAGCTCTGACCAGTGGCAGAGGCTGCTATGCAGAAAGGGAATCGGGGGCCATTTCTAGGCTCCATGGGTGAGAGTGTAATGATTGGTTAGGGATGTCTGCTCTCAGTGAGGGGCTGCGGACTGGGAGCCACCACAGTTACTGAACAGCCATGCTTGGTCTGGGCCAGTGATTCCCAGTCTGAAATATGCTCCCAAATTACCGGGTATCTGATTAACAGGCAAATTCAGGTCCCAGAAGTCTGGGGCAGGGATGAAAATTCTGCATTTCCAGCAGGCTGCCAGGGGATGTCCATGCTGTGGGTCTGAAGACCACCCTTTGAGAAGCATGGGGCAGAGATATTTGAGGTCTCCATTCACCTCTATCCCTGTTCTCCACCCATGTGTCACATACTTGCAGACAGAACTGATCAGCCCCTCCCCACCATCCAGCACTTTCTATACCCATCACAGCATTTGGTTCTTGGAGCAGCCCAAGTTCCCATTCTCTTCCTTGACAGATGAGGAGCTGGAGGTCCGAGGGGAAAAGACTGGCCCTCAGACCCCCAGCTGTTGGTGGCAGAGGTCTACCTGGATGACAGATCCATCACCAACCTCCCTCATCCCCAACCATCTCTTCTCTGGAGCCAGAAAACAGCCAGAAAAACCCTGCTGTTCCAAGGCGCTGTGTTCACTGCCATAAATAAGGCCTCAGCCAGCCAGGCTCCTCCTCCTCCCCAGGCCACATCTCACGGCAGGCCGGCTCTAGGGCGGCCGTGGAGGGAAGGGAGGCTCTCCGACAGTGTGAGTTATGGGCTCTGGGAAGCCCATTAGTCACCCAAGCGAGAGAAGTTAACTCCAGCTTATTAACTCTAAACGTTTATTATTCACATTGATCACCTCGCAGACAGCACCCACCACCCCACCCCCTTGGAGCCAGCCAGTGCATTCAGATCGCAGGATGGCGAGTGGGCTGAAGGCACTCGCACATCAAGAATCCCCAGGGAATGCAGACAGGGCACAGATGGCCCCAGCTGCCCCTTCCAAGAGGGCAAGAAGGGTGTCTCATCCATGGCCCTGTCACTCATCCACTTCCCGCTTATCTGTCAGCCTCTGTTCTGGGCCAACGCTTGAACCAAGAGCAGGGGACCCCCAGGTGCACAGACACCGTCTCCATCGTCCAGGGGGTGGCCACGAGGTGAGGGACGTGGGGCAGATCGGTGGGGAGGAGCATAGCCTCAGGGTCTGCCTGGTTTGATTTCAGGTTCTGCCACTCAGCGGGTGCCCTTGTGTATAAACCCTGTGACTCTCAGAGACTCCATTTTGTCATCTATAAAATGGGGACACATTCATTCATTTGACAGATATATACTGAGCACCTACAGTAAAGAACAGAAAAGCTCCCTGCCCTCATGGAATTCTGGAAATAGAGACAGACATGAGGCAACTGAAAAAAATAGTGTAATTTCAGATGGCGGTGAGTGCAATGAAGAAAATAATCCTGAATCGCGTGGAAGAGAGGGACTAGGGGCATTGGGGGGTATTACTGGGGGTGCTCAGGGATGGCCTCTCCAAGGATGTGGCTTTTGAACTGAGACCTGAATTATGGGGAGGGGCCAACAGGAGGAGACCTGGGCCAAGGGGAGTCCAGGCAGAGGGAGCAAATACTAAGGACAAAGGAAGATCGTGGTTCCCGGCAAAGCTTGGCTGCAGGGCAGCCAGAGAGGAGCCAGGGCGGCTGAGTTAAGTGAGATGAGGGAAGAGAGAAATGGGGGGTCAGCCGTCTTTTTAAGAACTTCAGCTTTTGTTCTTGGTGCAGTGGGGAGCTGCTGGGTGGTTTTAGGTTGAAACGGTCATTAGGAACATAACCATACTTGACCTCCCTCCATCGTTATTATGAACTGTAGTGGACACTGGGGTCCCCGCTCTGCTCTGCATTACGGGACAGTGCTCCCTGTCCCCCAGGTGCAGTGAAGTTGGCTGCTAATGGCCAACAGCTATCCCCTTCTCCTGAGCATTGCCCTTGGCTACCACTCTTCTCCAGCGTGGGCCCCCTGGCCTCTGATGGGGGCCAAATCTGCGGTGTCCTTTGCAAGCCAGGGCTCTCTGGTGTCGTGGTGGGCTCAGGTGAAGGCCAGTCTCCAGCAGGGACCATAGTTTCTGGCCTTGCCTGGTGCTTTGCTCCTGTGCTCCTTGCATCCCTCACTTCCTGCTGAGAGTGTGTCTTTGATATAATCCACGTGCACTTGGACCCCTGACTCAGGCTCTGCTGCGAGGGGTCCCCAACGTGAGACGAGGATTAGATCAGACAGTGACCATAAAGGCTGAACCCCACGCCTGCCACACACAGCAGTGACTTAAGGCTGCCAACTTGTCCTGATTTGCCCAAGACATTCGTGGCTATAGCACTGAAGGTCCTGCATCCCAGGAAACCCCTCAGTCCTGGGCAAAGCAGGACAGTTGGTCATTGGAGGTAACTGCTGACAGGCTTCATTCATTCATTCATTCATTCATCAAATACCTCCCGGGGTCTCTCAGTGCCAGGCTCTGTCAGTGGAGCCATGACAGGGTCCCATCCTCACAGAGTTCACAGGAGGCAGGCAGTATCATCAGATGTTTGCTTGGGCCTGCAAGAAGTCAGGAGAGCCGTCCTGGGTGGTGAGGTGGAGGCTGTCCCTGAGGGCAAAGTTGCTGTCCAGTGAATGGGGGCGGGGGCTGGGGAGGTTGGGCAGAGCTCCCACCCTGGTGAGCCGATCAGGAAAGAAGCCCTGACCTTCAGATCTACAAATGCAGAGAGAGGCCATGAGCAGCAGGTTCTGGGGTCCCATCACCCCTGCCCTCAACTGCTCCAGACCTCAGTTTCCCCCTGTGAGAAGTTCCCCCAGCCTCAGCAGGAAGCTGAGAATGTTTGCAAAGCAATGACTCCTTTGGGAGGAGTGCTCTGAGGACACCGAGGCCCCTGGGCCATCAGTTCAGATGGTTAAGCCAGGACAGGGAGCCTCCCGAGCCAGCAGGCACTGTACTGGTCTCTGAAGCCCCACAACAACCCTGTCACACAGGCCTGTTCTTTCCATTTTACAGATAAGGAAACCGAGGCTTAAAGTGGAGCACTGACTTGTGCAGTCCCGCAGCCAGCGAGTGGTGGAGCCGGGGCAGGGTCCCGGGGCTCTCAGGCTCCACGGCCGCTGAGCCACTTGGGTAATTCAAGAAGATAAGGAAGGCATCATCACCTCCATCTGATTCATTGCTTTACACACTCCCCTCTTCTCCACGCTTACAGGGGAGAGCGAATGAGAGCGCAGGTCCTGGTGCCACCCTGCCTGGGTCCGGGCCCCAGCTCCACCAACGCAGAAGCTGGGGGACCAAAGGTAAGCGACTTACCCCTTCTGTGCCCTGAGTTCCTCATCTCTCAAAGAGGAGAGATCTCAACAGCACCTCCTCCAGGGGTTGTTATGAAGATCAAAAGAGTTAATATATGGAAAGCACTCACAGCAGAGCCTGGCATATCGTCTCAGCTATTATTGCTTGTTTTATTACTCTGACTCAGTACAATGCAAGTCATAATAATAAAACATTGGAAACAACCCGAATGTTCAGCAGTAGGGGAGTTATTAAACGACCATGATTTATCGATTTCAGTGGACACAACAGTAATTAAGACAGGTGGTCTTGGGGCGCCTGGGTGGCTCAGTCGGTTAAGCATCCGACTTCGCTTGGGTCATGATCTCATGGTTCATGGGTTCGAGCCCCGTGTCGGGCTCTGTGCTGAGAGCTCAGAGCCTGGAGCCTGCTTTGGATTCTGTGTCTCCCTCTCTCTCTGCCCCTCCCCTGCTTGCGCTCTGTCTCTCTCTCTCTCAAAAAATAAATAAACATTAAAAAAAAAAAAAAAAAAAGACTGGTGGTCTTGGCACAAAGACGGACAGACAGACGAAGGGAACAGGATAGAAAGTCCAGAACTAGACCAACACGTGTAGAATCACCAGATTAATGACAATGGAGATGTTGCAGCACAGTAGAGAAAGATGATGCTTTAGGTCAGGGCCGGTGGATTGGTGGATATGCACGTGGGGGAGGAAAGAGTCTTGATCCCCACCTCACATATCTGACCCCCACCACACACCCATATCTGTTTCAGTGAACTCTAGGTAGCCATTCGCCTTGAGCAAAACATTGGCTATGTGTCTGTTTACCTCGTCCTGTGCTTTAAAAAAGGCGAACTTGTGTTAAGTCCACTTCAAACACAGGCACGGACTCTGGCGAGGAAGCCAAGGTGAATTTCAGTGGTGTCGAAGCCTTCGCGTGAATGGAAGTTTTGGTTTGGTGATTGTCCTTTCAGTGAAATGAAAGACACTCCTTTATTTTGGAGTGCAGTCACACAATGCACACAATCCAAGATAATCACAGGAGAAGGAAGATGACTTTTAGGCAACAAGTAGTCAATAAGAAAGTTCCGATTTCCTCTGGAGAAAAAGGAAAACATGTTTTGTTGTCCCCTGACAGCGAGGTGGAAAAAAAGAAAATAACCAAGGGAAAAGTCACCCCACGCTTTCCTCGTGGCCGTGGGCCCCCACCACTGTGGCGCCATGAGGAAGTGGAAGGTTGAGTGAGCAAAACATGTTTTCCTTCGGCAGGACGTCTGTAGGAACCGTTGGAATCAATTATTGGAAAACACAAAAATAAAGTAAACTTCAGCCGGTGGTAAACATTACCCCTTCTTTCTGGAAGCAGGAAAACAAAGGCCAGGATTGGGGTCAGCGGGAACAGAGGGCAAGCCTGCCAGGCCAAAGGCAGGGACCTGGGCTTTGGGTGAGACTGGGTGAGGCAAAGCCTTCCTGAGGCTCAGTTTACCCACCTGCAAATTCACAATCCTGTGCCCATCTCACAGACCTGGGGGTGAATGTGCCATTTCACTTAATAAATGTGTATTTAGCCCCTATTCTGTGCCAGGCTATGACCTGGGGGCTAGGCACCCCAAGATGCTTGCTGCTTTCCTAGCACTGGTGTGCACAGGGCCAGCTTCACAGCTGTGCCAACAGTGTGGTCACCTAGGGACACACACACCGGAGGGTCCAGTGCTTGGGTTAAACCTCCATGTTCTGCTGTCACCGTCTTGAAATGCCCCATTTTTGAACAACAGGCACTGTATTCTCATTTTGCACTGGGCCCCACAAATTATGTAGCTGGTCCTGGGTATGAGGCAAGAATCAGTGATGCTTTTTGATTGCTCATGGGGTCTGTGTGACCCCTCTGGGTTCACTCCAAGACTTGGCACAAAGAAGGGGGCCAATAGTGGGGTTGAAATGGACGTGAGAGCAGAAGCCAGCAGTTACGGATACTGTGCTACTGTCTGCCCCCCCGTGTGCCCTTGACACAGGAGCCCCCTCAAGTCCTCGTAGGTGCTATAACTGCCACTGTTTCAGAGAGAATTACCTCTGTTTTGGTTGAGTGCAGTAGGAAGGGTACTAGCTGTGTGGTTACGGCAGCCCTGGGGTCACAACCTTCCCCATCCTTGCTGGCTCTGGATCTCTGGGCAAGTCTCTGCGCCTCAGTGTCGTCATCTGTAAATGTCACACATGACATACAGAGTGCTTGTGGAGGTTAAACAGATAATGCTTAAAGCACCATAGCTCTACTCGTTGGAGGAGGTGCAAAGCCCACATCTACAGAGGTGGCAGGGATTGGGATCCCGAAGCGGGTATTTACATTGAGAGGCAAACCGTTCTCAGGCTTTAAAATGAAGAGTTTGGCTAGACCAGGGGACACTGTCCCTGGAGAGCAAGAGCCAGGTGCTGCAGCCTGTGCATAAGTGAAAGGCAAGCAAACTGTATTTATGAATAGTTAAAAATTAGGTAACCAAACTATCAGGTCAGTGAGAAATGACATGTGGATTAGACCTTCACAAAACCCTAGCAAATGTCTACCCGCTAAAAGGCATCAGATCTATTTGATTGCCTATTATGCACCAGCTACTTTGTTAATACTTAATAATGACGTCTAACATTTACTGAGCAGTTACTAGGTGTCAGGCACCCAGCAAAGCACTACTGTCTTCCTAACGGGCATGTGCAGTCAGTACTAGAAATACCCCATTTTTCAGATGAGGAGAGCTACCCCCAAAAGAGACAGGGACTTGCCGGGGGCTCAGGGCTCGGAAGTGGTGGGGCTGGGGCTCAAACCACAGCGTGATGTCCACACCCTCATCCCAAACTCTGAGCTGTCAAAGCTCCGTCCCCAGCTCGCTGTGAGATCATCAGAAGGATTCACGCATGGCTCCCGCAGGCAGCTCTTAGGAGGTGCTGTCCTTCTCCCTTCTCATGCTGTTCTGTCCCCTCACTAGGGACTCCCCCCAAGCTGGAGAGGGTCAAACTCCAGCCTGCAGCCCCGCTGCTGGAAGGCAGCCTGGGAGCAGCTCCTGCAGGAACCCTGCACTTTAATGGTGTTCCTGGACTGGGTCTGATTAATTTCTCCTAAGTGTCTGGGTTTCAGGTGGGGGGAGGCTCATCCCAGCAATTGATGGTGTCCATGACAGGGGGTCACATTGCCTCCCAGGGCCCTCTCTGAGCACAATCACACGGGTGCACGCATGCTTATTAAGCTAATTAATGTGGTCTTTCCAGAGCCGCTATCTCCCTCACCCTCTGCCAGAGCTGGCAGAGAAATGCAGTCTCCACTCTAGAGCTCCATGGGGAAAATAAATCAGGAGTCGGGCCTTGCAGCTCATCAAAATGCCTCTTTGTAAATCGCCACCATTCCTGGTACATCGGGGAAACTGACACGGCCACACCCATTCCGCAAAGTATCCCACAAGGGAACGATGGCCTTGCGAGGGTATGAGCTCCCTGTCCCTGGGGGAACTCAAGCACAGGTGGCTGTCAAAGGTAGGAAGTTGGACTCAATTGCTTGGCAGGGCCTTCCTGGGACTGCCCTACTTCCCACCTCTGCACAACGGGATGAACATGTTCTTGCCCCTTTGGACATTACTACACACATGGTCAGGTTCTTGTCTGATGATCCATTTAAAACCTCAGGAGCTTTAGTAGAAAGTTGTCCTTGTGCTCTTCCCACAGGCCGTCGAATGGGGCCTATGGGGCACCTGGGTGGCTCAGTCGGTTGAGCGTCCAGCTTCGGCTCAGGTCATGATCTCGTGGTTTGTGAGTTTGAGCCCTGCATCGGGCTCTGTGCTGACAGCTCAGAGCCTGGAGCCTGCTTCGGATTCTGTGTCTCCCTCTCTCCCTGCCCCTCCCCCACTAGCGCTCTATCTCTCTCTCAAAAATAAACATTTAAAAGCTATCTAAAGAAATAATAATAATAATAATTATTATTATTATTATTATAAACTCATGTTAGCCAAAATGAGGAATCTCAATCCAACCCCTGGGAGTCTTAACTCATGGGGCCTGTGATGGGACTTCAGAGTTCATATTTTAACCAGCCCAGAAGATTCTTCAGATCAAGAGGCTGGGGTTCCCCTGTGTCAATCCAAAGACGTGGCTGGTGGCACTGGCCTTGACAAACCTTTGGAGGAGTTTTTTTTTGTTTGTTTGTATGTTTTTCAGAAAGCCAATCACCTTTTCTCATTGTCTGTGTACAAGGCCCCTTTGGGCTTGGTGGGAGGGTAAGGAGAGAGCACAGGCTCTGAGAAGTCATTCCTGTTTCCCCTCAACCCCACCACTTCCCAGCTGTGTGGTCCTGGGCACGAGGCTTTCCTTCTCCAAGCCCTAGTGTCCTCATCTGAAAAATGGAGATAATGATGCATACCTGCCAGTGCTAATGCCCAACACAGTTCCTGGTGAACAAATGTTAGTTCCTCCATAGGGCAAGCATTTCATCCTTGCTCCCTCATCTCCCGCTGACTCCTCTTGAGCGCCATCTTCCTGGAAGAAAGACTGCCAGTCCCTTCAGACTGTGCAGGTGAATGGAAGTTTGTTGCTATGCCCAGGAATGGGGGTCCCTGTTGCTATGCGTGCATTCGGTGTGTGGCAGATACTACAGTGAGCGCTCACTGCATGCCAGGCTCTGTTCCAGGTGCCGGGGAGAGAGCAGCCAGCAGGAGAGACTCAGCCATGCCCTCCAAGAGCTGGCCTTCTAGATGGGGAGACAGACACCACCCAGGTACGCAGACAAATGGGAGGATCTCAGATATGGGTAAGTGCAAGTGAAGAAGACACGCTGAGTGTTGGGATGGTGAGGGACTGGGGTGGGCAGTGGTCAGGGCACCCCTGAGAAGAGGTGACACTTGCAGCCCAACTGATGAGGGAAGCAAGTCCTGCCATGTGAAAATTTGGGAAGGAGACAGAAATCCAACATGGTGGAGAAGTCAGGGACCCGAAGTTCCCTTGTCCCTCAAACACAGCAGCCTTGAAGCCAGAGGACTTTGAATTCCAAGAGTCCAGGCTGCAGAATGACAGAGATGTCTCTAGGGGCCCACGGGGCCAACCTGGCAGGCCATAGGGCTACTTCAGTGAACAAATCAAAGCACACCTGGTGGAGGGTCCCAAACATCCCTGCAAGTAGAGAGATAAAGCAACCAGAGTCACAACAAGAGACAGTATGTAACACTCTCCAAAAAACACCTCCTGAAGGGCCAGGCCCTGGGCAGTGTATGACCCCTCTTTAATACAGTAGTGCTCGCAGGTGCAGAACGCATACCGAGCTTTTAAAACACATAAGGGACAGAAAACTAGCCAAAATGACAAAAGAAATCCCAGGAAGAAATGACAGCTAAAGAATTGCTCAAAACAGATATAAACAATATATCTGATCAAGAATTTAGAATAATAGTCATAAGATTAATTGCTGGGCTTGAAAAAAGCGTAGAAGACAGCAGAGAATCTATTGCTGCAGAGATCAAGGAACTAAAAAATAGACATGACGAATTGAGAAATGTTGTAAATGAGGTGCAAAATAAACTAGATGCTGTGACAGCTAGGGTTGAAGAGGCAGAGGGGAGAATAAGTGACATAGACATAGATCTCTTCTTCCAGAAGAAGAGAGAGATAGGGGCTGAAGGTGTACTTGAACAAATCATAGCTGAGAACTTCCCCGATCTGGGGAAGGAAACGGACATTGAAATCCAGGTGGCACAGAGAACTCCCTTCAGGCATAACTTGAATCAATCTTCTGCGTGACATATCATAGTGAAACTGGCAAAATAAACAAAGATAAAGAGAGAATTCTGAAAATTTGGGAAGGAGTTTTCTAGTGAGCAGAAATGGCAGGTGCAAAGTCCCTGGGGCTGCGGGGCACTTGCAGGGTTAGGGATGGAGAGGAAGGCCAGCTCGACTGGAGGGTGGTGGGAGATGAGGCAGCATGCTGAGCTGGGGAAGTGCTAAGTATTGGAGGCCATGGTAAAGAGAGCCTATATTACTCACTCCCAGAGCAGCTGCTGCATGAGCCACTATGCTGGGGGCTACTTCCATGGCCTCCTCACAGTGGCCCTTGGGCATCCAGAGAGAGAGGGGGAGGGATGTGTCCTGGTGCGCGGTCAAGGAAAAGGCCAGGTTCCTGGACACAGGCCACGGGGTCCCCGCCCTGTCCCGGCCCCGCAAACAACAACGGACTACTGCCTCTCCCCAGGACTCAGGGTTCTTAAGGGTCACAGCACAAGGTCCCCTAGAAAATATGCCTTTCAGAGTCCCAAGTCCCTGTCTCTCAGCTGCATCCCATGGGCACCAAGAACCAGAGGGAATTGTACAAATGCAACTCAGAGCATGCTCCTGCCTGCCTTGCCCCTCAGCCACGCTGCCTTGCTCTGAGAACACAGCCCAAGGACCGTGATGGCCAGCATCTCCTCCCTTCTCCCTTCCCTCCAACTCACTATTCCTCGGATGGCACAGGCCTTCCCTCCTCTGGGCCTTCCCTCTGTCTGAATGCCGTCCCCCCAAGTGCTGGGACAACAGGTGTGTCTCCCTCTCCCCACGTCCCAGCCTTTCCTGGACCAGCAAGAGACCTCTCCACACTCCACTCCCCTCTCATTGCTCAGAGCACTGGTCACTCTCTGAAAGTCTCCCATTTGCACTGGCTTGTGGGCTTCCTTACTGCATCCCTAACTATGATACTCACCCCATGAGGCAGGATACTCATGCTCCATGAGTGTTGTCACTGCCGTATCCAGGGGGCCTGTGGCAGCTGGCACACCACGAGTGAATATGTGTTGGATGAATGAATGACCTCAGGGGATGCCTACAACAGTCCCATGGGGCAGGTGCTCTAATTGTTACATTTCACAGGTAGGGAAAATGAGGCTGGAGAAGGTTAAGCCGCTTACTCAAGGGACACAGCTAGCAAGGAGCCATGATGGAGGCAGATTGACTTCAGACCCCACACCTGTGCCCCGCTGCACCTGACTTACTGTATGGCCAGGCCTTCATCCTGTGAGCCTCGACATTGTCATCCATCTAATGGGTATAAAATCCCAGCCCTGCTGTTTCTTCGGGCTAGTGCTGAGACTTTGAGGGTGTCACCAAAGCAGACCCTCCCTGTCACCTGTATGGTGCCACACCCACAAGGGATTGGTTAAGAAGGGGCTTTCAGCCAGGCCTGCCTTCGGAAGGGTTAACATAGCCTCTTTGTCCCATGGTTGCCATGGGGACAGTTCCTGTCCTTCAGGAAGCAGGGAGAGCAGTTTCCTGTTTTGAAGAAGGCTTGAGGGCTGTTTTCCTCCAATCAGCCTGCCCAAAGAGGGGCAGGAAGCCTAGGGCCTGGCCGCCCCTGCTGATGGGTGTGTGGTCGAGCCATACCCACGCCCAGCCAGCCAGGAGGGGCCCTTGTGGAAATGCAGCCTCGGGGAAAAAGCCAAACAGGCCAGCAGAAGGAAAAAAAAAATGGTTGGCCGGAAGAGGGTGGTCACTTCCTCCACAGACCTTGGATCCCACCCAGTGGTGATAAAAACTGCAAGCTGGCCCTGCCCAGCCCCAGACTCCCCTCCCCCAGAGCTCCGCCTTTCCTTGGGGAGCTGAAGGTCTGCTGGACAATGGCCTTTGGGGCCCCTACCTGTCCCTGTCACCTAAAGGCACTCCCTACCCTATATGCTACACACTTCAGCCTAACTGAGCTACTGGCCCCCACTTCTCACCTCCAGCTTCTGCCTGCCACGTTCTGCCCTGCCTTGCTCCCTTTTGCTTGTATGACTCCTTCAGGGTGCAGAGCAAAGCTGTCCTCCTTCTGGAAGTCTTGCCAGCATGCATTTGAGCCCTCACAACTGTGGGTCAGGAACATTCATGACTTCAGGCCTAATCTCTCTTGGGGCCCCTGTCCCAGCTTCCTTGGGTCATCCCACCTCCAGGCTTGACCCTCTGACTCCTTTAGCACTCTGGCTACCAGCTTTTCTACCACCCAAGTCTGACCATGTCCCTCCCTCCCCTAGAAACACTTTGTGGCTCTCTATCCCCTACAGAGGGGAAAGTCCAATCTCTTTGGCCTGCCATCGGAGAGCTTCCCCGCCCCCACCCCAGCACCATCCTGTGCTGTGACCACTTCCTACCTTGCCCCAACCTCGCCTTCCTCTTCCGTCCCCACAGACATTTGCTCAGGCTGTTTCCCTACCTGGAATGGAACCCTATTTTTCAACCTGGAAAATGCAACTTGACCTTTACAGTTCAGCCCCATGTCGCCTCCTCTCCTCTAGCCCCTCAGCTGGACTCAATCCCCTGCTCTCACCCCCAGTTCCACTGTGTCACAGTTAGCTGACTCCCACACCCTTCCCTTGAACTGAATTCTGAGCTCATCAAGGACAGTAAAGTGGAGAGAGGGGGGAACCAACATTCCTTTAATCCTCACCCTGGCTCAAGAGAAAAGTCTCATTCCCCTTTTACAGAGGAGGAGATTGAGGTGCTGAGAGGTGAGATGTCTTGCCTGAGGCCACAAAGCCAGTAACTGGTAGAGCAAGGGGTCTTCAGGCCCCAGGCTCCTCTCTCTCCTCATGCCTGGCCTGGGTGTGTGCAGTGAGGGCAGGGGTGGGAGATGCCTGAACCAAATTTATCTGCCGTATTCCCCCCCCCCCCAATCTTTGGGGCACGGGAAGGGAAGGGAAGGGTGGTCTTGCTAAAACCCATCCACCCCGGCAGGTGTCTGGCTCAGATTTGCCGCCCCTGGAGCCAGGAAGGCAACTCAATGCCTTTCCAGGGGAAGATAAGCCTTAGAAGCTGATGATGTTGCAGCTGTGGCAGTGGGGGAGCAGTCCAAGGCTGCAGGGACCTGGGGGCCAACACCTGGGGAGGCTGCAGGGCTAGGGTCATTTCCATTTGAATAGTGTGCACTTTGTCCCTGTAGACAAAGGCATACCTGCTGCTGGTAGAAAATGGGAAACCCAGGAGGGACCTCCATAGAAGGGGGAGGAGAAGGTGTCCAGCATGGGTCCCAGGTTTATGGGAACAAAACCCTGGTTGTCACCTTCTCTGGCCTGGTGCAGGAAGCAGAACCCAGGCTGCCTCCACATGCCTCCGTTGCCCCCTCTCACCAATCCCAATATAGTGGCTGTTCAATAAATGCCCTCACCTGTCTCTTCTGCTCTGATTGTGGGTTTTTCATGCCCACTTCCTGGTATACTTTATAAACATGGATTAAACATCAACTATGTACTAGACATTTATTTTTTTAAGTTTATTTATTTCGAGAGAGAGAGAACGTGTGCATATGCTCGCACGAGCGAGAAAGGGGCAGAAGAAGAGGGAGAGAGAGGGAGAGACAGAATCCCAAGCAGGCTCCACATTGTCATCACAGAGCCAGACGTGGGGCTGGAACTCATGAACTGAACAGTGAGATCATGAGCTGAAATCAAATCGAGAGTCAGCGCTTAACCAACTAACCAAGGGAATCACCAAGGCGCCCCGTTTACTAGACATTTAAATGATAATGACCATTTATTTAGATGAACTGTCTCATTTAATGAGCAGACACTATTATCACATCCACTGGGGGTGGGAGGGGGGTGCTGTGTGCTGAAGGGGGTCATAAAGCCAGCTCCAGAGCCAGGGTAGGATCCCTATCACTTACTAGCTGAGCATCCCTGGGCAAGTGCCTCAGCCTCTCTGTGCCATGGTAGCCTCATCTGTGACACAGGACTAATTATATTGCCTACTTTATAGGTTTGTTGAGAGGATTAAATGAGTTAATAATATGTGCAGAACATTTACAGAGTACACGCGATAAGCACTCAGCAAATACTAATTATTATGATTTACCAATGGGGAAACGGAGGCCCGGACTTGCCCGCAGGTCAGTATGGTTACTGCCTGTCTGGGAGGCTGGGCCATGGCCGTCTCAGCATAAGCTCACAGGGTCGGGGCACTCTGTGTCTGAGAATGAGGCCACATCTAGTTTTGGTGCTGGCTGTGCACTTTGCAGGGGCTCTGGGCAGGCGGGAACAGGGACCCGGATTTCAGTGGTTTTGATCTGAAATTACCTAAGCTGTGCACAGGTAGGTTATTCACCCTGGATGGTTCAAGGATTTAAAAAAAAAGACAGGAGGCATTTGCTTACTTGGGGGATCCTGATCTTTCATGCTGTGTCGTGTGTGTGTGTGTGTGT